GCCCCAGGACCTGACGGCTTTACCCTTCCATACTATCGATCGTTTTCAGACATTCTGGTGCCTTGTTTCGTAAATGCATATAATTCTATCCTCCATGACCAGCCTTTCCCGGTTGACTCACTTATGGCTCACAGAATGGGGATTCCAAAAGAAGGCAAGGATCTGGCGCAATGTGGCAGTTACCGCCCTATTGCCTTGTTAAACACCGACCTTAAAGTGACATTAAACCCTCAGATTTTTTAACATAAAACAATAGTGTAATGTGTGCCTTACTGTAATCCATGGTTGTTTCCCTTCTCTTTGCTGCTCTTCCTTTTAAATCTGTATCTGTTCTCATGCTGGACAGAACTTCTGTTTTGCAGCAGACTGCCTTGTCTCTGGAATGGCTACATGGTGTCTGTGTGTACGTTTGCAACCTGAGCCAGCACTACAGGAAGAGGCAACAAAGGGAAGTCCTCCCCAAGCATGAGAAGAGATGAGGATTTAAAAGGAAGAGCAGCAAAGAGAAGGGAAACTACCATGGATTGCAGTAAGGCACACATTACAGTATTGGTTTATGTTAAAAAAATCTGAGGGTTTAATGCCACTTTAAGCTATTTGCGAAAATCTTGGCAAACAGACTTTCTCCTTGTATACAGCAGCTGGTCCATAATGACCAAGTGAGTTTCGTCCTGGCCCATGAGGCACGAGATAATACAACTAGAGTTCTTAACATCATTCATGGGAGCCTGTTCTATTTCATCTGCACTAATGCTGAAAAGGCCTTCGATAGAGTGGACTGGTAGCTTCTGAGGTCCTCTACATGTTAGACTGGGTCCATATATGCTGCTTGCACTGTACTCTTGCCCTACCACAGCGGTTAATGTTAATGAAGCTAGATCCTCTTCTTTCCCTCTCACGTATTGTACGAGGCAGGGGTGCCCTCTCTGTTTATTTTAGCCCTGGAATCATTCTTGTGCCACGTCCGCAATAACCCCAGATTGTGGGCTTTAGTCTGTGCTCAGTGGAGCACAAGGTCACGGCCTATACTAATAACCTAATGTTTTCCATCTCCCGCCCCCAAGGTTATCTCCCGGGAAACTTATGCGGGTATTTCAGGTTTATGGCTGTCTCTCCAATTTTACTATTAACTGGGACAAGTCTGCGGCACTGAATGTCTCGCTCCCCACCCCTGTGATCCCCCCC